GCCTTCGCTTTAAGACTACCAAGTGGACATTCTACCTGCAGCAAGAACAAATTGCTATTATGTTAATGACAATAGGATGAGGTTTAAGCAAAAAATTGGTTTCTTTTCTGACCACAGTAATCTGCACCTTTGCTGGTCTGTGCCTACCATGTCATTTACGCAAACACCTTGAGGAATGTTAGAAACATGCATTCAGCTTCACAACTTATCTAGGGGGTCAGTGTGAAGCTGCAGCATTTCTTTAAAAAGCTAGAAGAAAATAAGATGCATAATCCCCATCCTACAATGGGAAAGGGTATTGTTTATCATCCTGAATTTCAAAAAGGTTTTAAAATCTCCAATAGCTTAGATTCACTCTGAAGTTACATAGGTCTATTTGGGGTTTAATTCTGTAAAATTTAAAACTTTTGATTTACCCCATTATAATCTGTACATTCCTGAATTTCCTCAATATCTTTTGAGTAAGCCATTCGCTATCAAGAACAAGCCACAGAAAAAGTGTTTTCCACTCAACTGGAAACAGCATTCAAACTTGGCTTTTTCTGTAACTGAAGTCTGCACACTTGAGGGATCCCAAGTGCAGCTTCTTCTTCTCTTCCACAATTACACTAGAATAAGTCATTACATCCAGCTATAATGGGTCAAGACAAATGTAGGGATAGGGGATCAGCATTGTTCAGTCAAACAATGTTCCCTTTTTCAAGAAAGAAAACTTTAATTGGAGATTTGCTCAATTTTGACCAAGTATCTATCCACAATACTCAATCTTTTACAGTAATTAATTTTAGTTGGTACACACCACTTTATTCTACAGCTTCATCTCAGTATGTGATATACTACATAGCTGAAATACTCCAGCACAAAGTGGTTTGAGAACTGACAGCCCATGAAGTCCTCTGTAGTTATTACAGGCAGCCTGGGGGCCTGACTCTGCTAGATAAATTTATGTAGATGAAAGACTAGTTTGTCTTAATATAGACATAAATATTTTTATAAGCAATAATGGCTTTGTTTCATACAAAATTAACTTAGACAAATTTGTCCCTAATTCATGAATCCCATGTCATTTTCCAATTACATTTACCCAGCAACTTCTTGGGTGTCCTCAATTAAACATAACCTTGAATTTCCTATTATCAAAGACCTTTCCATTCATTTCCAAACTACAATTGCTTCATCTCACAGTATAGTGATCTTCCCTCTAGCTCACCCTTATTAAACTGAGGCATACTGCAGCTAGGACAGAGCCTTGATAATCGTCCCACAGACTAACAGCTACTTGTATTTTGTTAAGAATTACTCTTAGGAGTACAAACTTGATACCCTGCAGAATTCACACAAGGAATCAATGCAAAGTGTTAGTGATCAGGGGGCACAATTTTTTCTTCTGTAATCTAGTTCGCATCTTCCAATCAACAAGAACTTCTTCAGCAAGTCGAGCTGTTATCTCCAGAATCTAATCTCTGTGTGCAGAAAAAGGTAGTTTGCATGGTCTCCCAGATCCATTTGGGCACAGGTAAGCACGGCTGTGATGGCAGTCACCCCTAACATGCTTGTACAAATGAAGGACAACGTCCTCCAAGGCCAACGCAGCTATGAAGCACAGTGAAGCTCAGAACAGGCTGTTGCTGCCGCAATGCATTCATGAGAAGCTACAGGGAAAAAACTCAACACATGGCTTGATTATTTCATTCTTAATGCAATTCCTCCCAGTAGATAAGGGTAACAGATTTTCACTGAGTAACTGAGACAATCTCACCAACAGCAGGATGCTGGGGTTCTAAGTGACAATGCAAGTTTTTGAGCAATTATCTTTGAATTGTAAGTGCTCAAAACATCATTTCTCTTCCAGTAACTTTGAAATCTGCATCCAAAGCTGAAAATAAAGATTAAACAGGAATAAAGAAGCCTTGTGTTTAAGCATGTTTATTTCTGCATGTGATTCAGACCCCTCGCTAAACACTACACTGCATCAGGGTTTGCAGACAGAAGTCACTCAGTTTTTGTAAGATGGATGTGTCTTCAAAGACCCTAAATTGAAGTTCAACTCCCCCAAGTTCCTGGCCGTGTAAGTCTGATAACAGTATCTTGTGAGGCTTAATTTCTTAAGTCAGTCTCAATTCAGTAGAAACTGACTGAAAGTGCAATAGAGTACATACTAAACCCATGATAAATAAAGATCTCTGCTCTTCTGACAAGGCAGAAGAATAGCAATGGGTAGCAATTATGGGTAAGGGCTCCTACATCACGTTTCCAAACTCCCCTCTGCTTCAACTCTTCCTCCCATCTGTTTAAGCATAATAAAACATTCAATATTGCACAGACGAAATGGAAGTCCCATACGGCAGGCAATCTTATGTGCAAAATATAACACGATGAAGACTGAGAACTCAGGAATATTTTACAATATCTATTATGAAAACCAAGTGATATCACAGCCATTTCAAAGTGTCTGATCAGCTTACAAGATTTCATTCAGGTTAAGGTGTTTCAAAGTAATTTAATAAGATGTATAACTTGCATGGTTTTAATCATAGGAAGAAAATACACAGATGCAAATTGCCTCAGTGGAAGTGCCCCAAAATGGATTAGACTGTATTGCCATCTCACTGTGACACAAACATGGGACAAAAACGTCTGAGTACCCAAGAGATGTTTTGTTCCAGAAACAAAAGGAACAGAAGAAATGCAAACAATGACAGTAATGTGTCATTAACTGCCCAGCACCTTGCTGCTGGTGGTTATCCAAAAGGATACAGCAGAATTCAGCTCAAGAGTAAGCGACGGTGAGGGGTATGGGACACCAGGCAGACTGTAGGAGGTACTGCACAGCAGCAAGGGAGGATTTTATCCTGTTCAGACTTATGTCAGACCCCTCCAGAAGAGCATCCTTAGGCAAGAAACCAGCTTTTCAAGGTGTTGCTATGACTGCCACATCCACTAGATGGGTTCAGCACTACATCCAAAGAGAATCTAATTTGCTGTCTGATAGCAAGCATTGGGAAAAATCATGTAGCAGTTGAGACAGTTTCACATGGAAGAGATTTACAGAACCATAACTTTCCAAATACTTTTGGAAGCAGCAATCCTGGATATTGAATAAGACACAGGAGAAAAAAAAAATAATCATTTGGTGCTTTAATAACTTGCTAAAACCACCAGCACCACAAACAAAGCTCTCAAACAGGACAGGGTCTCAAACAGCAGACTGAAGATAGACTTAGTAGCAAACCAATCTTCTAAATAACCAGTGTTACCCTAACATCTAGCCATAGTGGTTTGGATTTTTTCTTGGAGGTTTCATTTCTAAGCACTAACCAGACTAATTCTCTTTAGCTTGCAAAATCGGACAAGATCACAGCCTGCAGGGGAAAGGCTGCGGTGATAAATATTTAATGGGCTACATCAATAAAATTTATTTTGCCAAGGAGAATGGAAGGAGAGGAAAAGCAGAGAAATAATTCATTAAAAGAAGCTCAGCTTAGCAATGCCAGAAAAAAAAAAAAAAGGCATGCTCAGAAAAAAAGAAATTAAACACAAAGATGTTTTAAATATGTCAGAAGCTTAAGTACTCTTAACACATGGCAAACTGAAAAAGAGCTGAGGATTTTGGAATGAAAGTACAGTGATATGTGGACTTTAGTTGCAATGGTATGAATCACTATTAATGCCCCTGGACACACCAGTAGCAGTTTCAACTTCTTATGGTACTTCGTATCATCCAACCTTGAAGACCTGTTTTGAACATGAAAGTGTCATTGCTCAAAATCCACTAAGAACTGCAACAATTATCTTGAGCTTTCACATCACTGAATTTGCAAAAAGAAATGTTTAATGTCTCCTTCCTTCCTTCCACTATTTGAAATCACTTGCAGTGACACAAGAGCACACAGGACCTCAGTGCTTCTTACAATACCTTTCGCACTCACTCTCTCACTCCACCCAATCTAGACCTCTTACAACCAGAAGTCAGCAGGATGGGCAAGGAAGAACATCAGAAATTGTTGTGTTTATAACTAAAAATAGTCCAGGAATCCATTAATTCTCAAGTTCGCATTCTAGGTCTGCTAATGACTTGTTTTATGGCTTTTTTTTTTTAATGGGTAAAGTGGAGAAGCACATACTGTGCAAAGAGGGGAATGGTCTCAGGACAGATTAAATGCTATTAAAATACCTTAGAGCTACCTCAGATTTGGTAAAAGACAATATATTTTAAAAACCTACCTTTTTAGAAGCCTTTGATTTGAAATTATTTAATAGCTTTGTGGATGAAGTCACACTACTTAAGCCTCCCTAATGGTGAAATACAGAGATGATTAAAAAAGGCAAATTGTGTGGATAACAACAAGCAAAATCTTACTCACAAGCAGTGCTGTCACAGGACATACTGTTCAGTAACATAAAGGAGTCAAGTCTCCAAATAAGTGATTAAGTGCTGCCCTCTAGTGAAGTCATAGATCCAGTTTCAGCACACAGAGTTTTGAAATATAACAAAAATCTCAGTCCCAGACAGAGTTTAGCTAGATTTGTCTGTAACAGAAAAACTCTACACCAATCATCCTAATATAGCATGTTTACAATTTAATTTTACTCTTCCATGCTAGGATCTTTTGTTTAGGTTTAGCACTGCAATAAGGTTAAACACTGAAGTCAGTTTAACAACTCCAGAGCATATTCTACTTTTTCCTCCAAGTTGTGAAATCAAGTTCTGATCCCAAAATGAATCACTGGCAAAGCCATTTTAAAACCCATTACATCAGAAAACACAGTATTCTATTTTTAAAGACATATGCCAATAATTTAACAATAGGCTCATATATTTAAAATTTTTGACAGAGTTCTAGAATTAGCTTTTTCTCATGCTCAGAATACCTTTTTTGTAATGCCACTTTGACTGAAGGCTAAATGACTTCACTAGTAGTTAGTGGAGCATCTTGGCTCTTGATGTTACCACCCAAAAGGCTCCCTTCATGTGAAGTAGACAGACATAGCAGTTACAATTTACTCTCAAAGCAGGAGTTTTATTGTAGCTGATTCCTAGTCAATGTTTTGTCCATGTATTTAAAAAGGAAGAGGTGTCCACTTCAGGAACAAAGTGACCAGAGGGGCAGTATTTGCCATCAGACAAAGAAGCGGCAAAAACAGCTGTAAAGCAGTCCTTGCTAGGTGAGCCCAATGGTATTAGAATTTCACAATTCATTTAAAAATTAAGTATGAAGGTATACTCAAGATGCTTTGCTTTCACAGAAAGAACGGGGTCTTCCTTTGAGAATTAAAACCACATTGCATACAGTTGTGACACACGGGAGGCAGTAAGCACAACTGAGGTGGGTGTTTCTCGCCTTTTGGTTTGGCCAATCTTTAAGCTGTAGCTGTCCCACACCACCTGCATTAACAGGGTTTCCAGGTTGATTTGCTCCTCCAGTTAGAAAAATGCTGTTTCCAACCCGCATCAGATGAATCCCGCAGATGGAAAAGAGCAGAGCTGGTTTCTGTTTCAGCACTGGAATACTTCATATGCTCATAATAACTAAACACATTTAAGCATTCCTTGACAACATTAGCTTGAATGCCAACTGTTAAAATCTACTTAATAATTTGCTTACACAAAACATCGGAAAAAGTTGAAAGAACTTGCCTGGAAACTTATCAGGTACATTTATTAAGGAACAACATTCAAAAACAGATGTTATATTAGTATTTTTGAACTTCCATATAAAATTAAAAAAAAACTTCTTTGATTTTGTCAGCATACTTGTATCTGCAGGTTCCAGCACCTGGGGAAAGACCAGCAGAGAATTTTGTTAGCATCTTCCAAACATTTTGCCATCACAAAATTTTATGCAAACTTAACATGCAGAAGACTGCCCACTCCCAGTCTGAACAAGTTTAGCGTCCAATCATTAACACATTTTGGATCAAATAGAATTACTGCATTACTTGTCATGGCTACATGCATTTCCAGTTCTCCAAGAAGAGGTTAAAGTGTACAATAAAATCCCATCTGCACACAAGCTACGCTTCTAACTTCAGTAATTTCTGTTATCTAAATTTGACATTATGCAGACTCATGTGGGCTCACTTCCCTGACTTCAGAACAGATCAAGCCAAGTATCTGCCAGCCTGCAGCTGTTTTTAACAACACTGCTATGTTGACTTAAATATATTCAGATTTTTAAAAATACTGTCAACAGGACTGAACAGAAGTTCAGTTGAACTACCAACTCCTTGTAAGAGTGTTATTAGAAAAGCAGAGACTGACAAGACAAGCCTGATTCTTGCTTATCGTGTGGAGCCAACTACAGGAATGATCCAGACAGAACAGCTTCAGCTTACACAGCAACTTCTTGTTGCCATCCATACAGGTGAATGTAGCAAAATGAAAATATATTTTCTCAAGACAAGGTTGTCAACAATTCTAGTGCTACTTTTACCTCAGTTACTGGTCCATTTTCTCCTGTATCTTCTTTTAAAAATCTGAATAATGTTTCAGCCTGAACGAAAAAAAAAAAAGTTGAGATACTGAAAACTTCAGTAACCAGTTGACTGAAGAGCAAATAGAAGCAACAACTATTCAGCAGCCTTAGAGTATTCTTAGCTAATCTGGTGTAGCAAAGATAGCAATCTTTGTAAAATGTGTAGCAAAAAAATAGGAATCATTCAGGTTAGGTTTACTTAAAATGCCATTATAGGCAGTTCAAGTTGAAATAAAGGACAAACTGCCAGATCCATTCACAATTTTACAGACATGCTTGGCAGTCATTTTGTAAGTTTTCCCTGTCAGACTTCATAAATCATTAAAATCTCACATTAAAAATACAAAGTTTTTCAAGTATCACATAACGTTACTTAGTTTAAAGAAAAGGAATATTCCTGCTCTGGGTTATTACCACTCCTTACCCCTGACCACACCAACAGAAAAAAAAACCACTTCTCCCTTCTCACAAAAAGGGTCAAGTTCTTTTTTTAATCCTCTGGGTTTATTTAATGGGGAGAACATCTGGCTTTTTACATACCCATTTTTCAGAAAAGGACAAAGACCTTTAGACAGGGATGTCTGTCTCCAGCAATGTGTATTTTATAATCAGACAACAAACAAGGCTCATTCATTCTCAGAAGGAAAAGCCAGCTTTGCGCTCAATTAAATCATAAGGTGAAATTCAGATCATAAAGTCAAACCTTATCATTTACCAGTCATCTGCCCCATTTTACAGAATATAGAATATAAACATGTTATCTGGGATTAATGAAATTGTAGTACGTACCTAAATAACAAAGCTTTGCCTTTGTTATTTGCTACAGAGAAAAAACCACTTCTGGGAGAAAAGTCCATAGATTGGGCAAGATAAATCTGTTTTCTTCTGAACACTGGGAAGTTTGAGAATACAGTATATGAAGGAATGTGTACCTATTGAGAAATAGGTCATTAGTTATAACAATCAGGAAAAAACCACCAAAATTTAAATTAAGGTACAGATTTTAAAAGGTCAATGTTGAATTCAAATGGTCAGTTTTATTCCTGACACCACTTTATAGATGGAGTTCTACTGGACAAAAGGTGCAGGGAACACAGTACAAAGCCAAATATTGCAACTCATTTATTTTTAAGTAATTACATCTAAGTAGAAAAATAGGCTTCCAAACCCTCAGATCAGTTCAATAGTTCCACTGCTGGCCAGAATTCTGACAAGGCTGGAAAAATTCTGAATGAGCTAGGAAAAACCCCACATAGTAAGACCGTTACAGTTAACGCTGCTGAAAATTCACATTTGTCGCTGAGTTCTATTTACAGCACTGAAATAAGAGCATCTTAAAAAGGAAAAAACAAAAGGTAAACTAAACCATAAGACATTCTTTTCAGAACAACTTCCCTGAAGGAAAAAAATAAAATTATTTCCTTATAAATATACAGTATCTTTATCTGTCCTGATCTGCTCAGTCTAGCAAATTTTTGCAATATGCTTATCTGCTCAAGATCAGTTTTTTACATCACCAGGGATATTTTTATCAAGATATAAAAACCTCTTGTACTAAGGCAGCTAACATACCAATTTCACAGCCTCATCAGCTTCACGGGAAGCCACTGCCAAAATTTCTGTGGTGGGATTGAAGGTCACACACGTAGCAGATGTAACTAGGTTCATTATGGCTTTAACTGGTTTAGGATGGTTTTCTTTGAGACAGACGTCAGTGGTATATAGATTTACAACTCCAGAAGCTGAACTGAAAAAATAAATCAACAAAGACTTTACCAAGAATAACATTTACAGTGCATATTACCTTGTTCTCTGTAGCTACTATTCAATTGAAAATGTAATTTCCAACTATTTGCTGGAATTTATAAAGGTATTTTCTTTGGAGCTTGATTTTGCTTTAGAGTTTGTAACAGTATTTGGTGGTTTGTTTGTTGTTTCTTTTTTTATTTAATAAGACACACCTAACTGGAGAGCCTTCATAAGCCCATCTTTTACATAGAATGAATTCAAAGCAATGAGAGATTGGTATCAAAATATTCTGGCATACTTTCAACCTTGTTGATTTTTTTCTTTATACATCCTGTAGAGTAAGTCCACTTAAAAATCCCCTTCTACAGTGGGCAAAAAAAATTCATACTGTACCTAAGTATTTGCTAGTCTCATTTGAATGGACTGATATACTAGCTAAAGTTGCATCTTGGTAAGTATAATTGGAGAAACATTTTCAGGCTTGTGTCTCTGAGTTGAGGCATCTTTTCAAATGCTAACATGCCATACTGCAGAAAGCAAATTAGGAGTATAGGAAAGACAAAAAGGGGAAGACCTTGAATCAATATTTGTACTACAGAATTTTTGATTTCAGCCAGTATGATTTCAAAACTAACTGCTAAACCCATATATAGCAGCAGTAATACATTGCAGGTAATACTGGTGTTAAGTGTGCTATGGCATTTTCGATATACAAGGAACAAATCAAATTACTGTCATAAAACAGGCAATATTCACCTACTCACCTCTAATCTAACCTTATTGAAACCAAACTTATTCCGTGTTCCTACACTCTCACCAGCCACCAATAAGTTTACTGAAGAGCTTCAAAACGAGACAGGAGGAAGATGTCAAATCTGAGTCACTTACCCACATGCCACATACTGGTTATTTTTTGAAACAGCAATGCACTTTCCTTCCAAAGAACCCTCATCTTCAAATTTATGTAGACACTTCCTGCTTCTCACATCCCAAATGAAAACTTCACCTTCCTCTGGTTGCAAAATAAAATAGATTATAGAAACCACATATGCAGAGCACATAGTTTGTCTGCTTTGTTAAAATAAATTTTATTAGCTGACAACTGTTAGCTCATTTACAACTATCGAATACAGGGGATTTAAAAAAAAAAAACAAAACAAAACAAAAAATTAAAGACATACTAAAATAGTTAACTCTATTCTTTAATGATTGATCATTCAGTTGTATTTTTAGGCCAGATACTAGCATAAAGCCTTTTAATTATCTTTGTAAAACTATAAATTATTTAAGTAATTTAAATGGACTTATGATTAGTGCTGTTAGAGAGAATACTTACTCGAATAACTATATATTTTACTGCTGTCTGGAGTGAAAGCAGTTGCAGTGCATCTTCCATTTACTTTCATAGTGCTAATCAGTTCCTTTGTCTATAGGATGAAGAACAACAATGGTGACAATGATTCTGCCAAAAATCTGCAGCAAAGTTGTTTCCATACTCCTGTCCCACAAAGATCTTAAGTTAGCTACACTGACATGAACAGCACAAACATTTTCAGTGCCTGCAGATCAGAGCAGAAGCTGATACGCAGGAATCCACGATCAATTTATTATTGCACAACTACAGTTCAATAAAAACTCATTTTCTCGCTCGCTGAAGAGTCTTCAGTATATAATCAAAGTGAACTTTTTATTTTTAAAAAGTATTTTTTCCTAGCAAAAGTTTAAAACAAATCCAGGTACCATCGTATGGCATTTTAAAATTTAACTGAAAAAATTCTCTATGCATTATGAATCACAGCAGATGGCATGATTCATGAACATGGTACACCAGCATGCACTAGAACTATTCCCATAAAAGCAGTCCTATTTTTTTTCCGCCCTCAGATGCCTGTTTCCATGCTGAGCCCAGTCCTTTTGCCAGCAGTGTTTGTGCAATCAGCTGAAATACAACACTGATATACGACTATTCCCAGTGACAGCTTAAAACCCCATGAAATTCTGGTCTTAACTACAGCAGTCCCAGAGAGAGCTGCACAGTGAGAAGAAAATTCTGAGACACCCCAAAATAATTTTCTAAACCTAGAGTTAGTTGATTCAGCAGCTCATTTTTGAAGGCTGTCACAGTATGTGTCATACTTTATTTCAACTGAAAGCTGGATTGCTTTTCAGATTAAATATAAGCAACCAGATTCAAAAGGAAAAAGGTACCAAGAAAGTGAAGCTACATGAACCATGATGAGAAACTACCTTCATTGACAACAAGTGAAGATAACCTGAAGTTCCAGTTAGAAGCATAAATGATCCATCTGGAGACACTTCGAAATTTTTGAGAAATCTTTCCTCCACACCTTTAAAAAGAGATTCAGAACTTCAAATTGGTGCAATCTATTTTTTCTCCCTCAATATTCAGAGGTATGATGAATATTAATAAAACCTAACTCCACTTCAGCAATACACTGTCACAGTAAACCTACAACTCAACCTCATTTATGTGTGACAATTAACTTTAATATCCCAGACAAACTAAATGTAAGGCATTCAAGTAAAGATCTCTGATGACAAGTTAAAAATGCTACCTCCAACAATTTACTGCACTACTTTTTAAAGCAAATTCATATGCCATGTCTATTTGGGACAGCTTCGGCTATGCCCAGACACTCAAAGTATTATAAAACGTACCTCTTACTCTCTCTATAGGAATGATACTTCCATTCATCATGTCATACACAAAGAACATTTTATGGTGAGTACCAGTAGCTATAACTTGTTCTCCATCAACACTGAAACGAGCCTTATAGACTGGAAAACTCTCTAAATAGATGCTCTGTATTCTTGGATTCTTTATACCATCAACCTTCCAAAAAAAAGCAGATTAACATATTAACATATCAACTAGCCAGTATACAAGAGATAAAAAGTAAGAGCTACGCTAGTTTGAAACATTATTCTCTTCCTCTCTTCTCAGCTTACAAATAACCACGCTCTTGGCTCCTCACCCTAAAGATCTGCCACTCTCAGCCTTCCTGGATACACTTCACATCCTTCCCCATCTTATATACCATTTGTTCAAATAATCTTTTATTGGCATTTTCTAAACAGCCATATTTGCTTTGCATTATTCTTTCCTGCAACCCTGTGGGAATCTCAAATTCGACTTGTGTTTCTGACCATTTCACTGACTCCGGGCCATGTTGAAAGTTCCAAAATAGTTATGATCTTTAGTTTTCAGAGGAGCAGGGCAGGAGTGTCGCAGGATGAGTAGCTTCCTGCTGCAGTACAATCTCTCCAACCCCAAAATCACAGCAGCACTACATTTTTAAATGAAAGTGAACTGCCCCCCACACTGAGGGCTTTACAAACACCTTAAGAAAAAAAAAAAAAAAATCTCATTTCTCCTTGGCACTGCAAACCCTAAAACCAAACATTAAAAACAAATCTTCAACTAAAACCTGCTACAACCCCTGTGAGCACACCATCACATCTACCATTCCAGGCTACGCAAGTATATTTAGATAAGTATATTTTGGCCATTTACATAGTATAGAATGAAATTCTTCACCTGAAAAAGTGACACAGATCGATCATGTCCAGCAGTCATGACTACTTGAGCAGATGGGTGAAACTGTACAGTTACCAATCTTCCATCAGCAAAACGTTCCTGATTAGCAGGCAAGCAGGTACTCATCTGCAACAAAGATCAAGCAGTTTGAAACAAAATACAATTTGCACACTTTTCCTTAAGCTGATGAACAGCCAACTTAATTGCTCTTTATAGTACAAGATGTAAAACCTTATGACAAACTGTTAGACAGCATAACCTAAGCACAACATACACAGAGTAAGTTCGATAAGTTGCTTCAAGGCAGCAGCGTAGATTTATTCTTTCACAATGTGAACTATCCAATTTGTCCAACTGTTTACTCTCTAGAGTTTTCAGACAGAAAAACAAAGAAGTAGTTCATACGATCACTAATTTTACTGCCCAAATAGCGACAAAGAAGTCACAGTGTGCATATTGGTCAAACTGAGACAGAAGAATAAGCTTGTCTTTACCTTCAAAATACCTTTTGGCAGGGACTCTGAGTTTGATATGAAATTGCCAGTCCTGCATAGCAAATCATCATCTTCATCTTCATGACTATCACCTAATTAAAACAAAGCACGTTGAAAAAGATAAATCCACAAACATTCCCACAGCAAAACCTACAAATTCCTTACAGAAACAAATTTGATTAAAGCACACTGAAAGAAGGAAGGAAAGTGCTGGCTTATCCAGCATAGTATCACACTACTGAAATTGAGAAAACATCAATTATTTTTTAAGAAGCTGAGTAGGGAAACACAGAAACGCTTATGAGAATAGTAATAGATTTATTTACTATCACTTGCAATCCTTTTGTGTTTCTTCCTGTTTTCTAAATCAGCCCAGGCAGGAACTCCTCCCATAGCTCGCTGAAACCTAGAAAGAGAAGGATAAGAGAAAAGAAAAAAGAAAAACAACTTTTTTTGACAAAGTAATTTCCTTCTGTGCATTAAGTACTTACAAGACGCACAGCCACAATTTTGCAAGATTACTTGCACTTAGAACACTAAACAAGTTTTTTAAAATTTCAATCAGCTTTCTGTGTTTGGCTGACTTCCTGAACGTGAAACTAAAGCAAAATTGGTACCAAACATAAAAGCACTGTTCTTTGGAGCGATACATGCTAATACCAAGACAACCCAAATGCATTTAAGCTGCTGCTTTGTTATCTGACTGTATTCACATTTCAGCTTATCCTAAATTACCACTTCCCATCATCCTATTCACAAAACAACGCATCACTACGAAAAATTTCTGGTATAACTCCCTAGAGGACAAATTAAGAGATCTGTACACACCTACTAAGCAAGTATTAAACAAATTAGCCTAGACAATACTAAAGTAGATTTTATTTATTATTCTTAGTATAATCTTGGATGTTAAAATGCTGCAAATACTGTAAGAAGTACTAGCTTTAAACAGGCCTTTAAAGAGATTTTAAACAGGTCAATACAGTGGGTAAAGAGAAAAATAACTGTCACAAGATGTATCTTCTCTCACGTTAATAAAGTTAGCCACAAAAAAAGTAATGAAACTCACTGTTCTTCAAGTCTCCTTTTTAGCTTTTTCTTAGTAAGGACTTTCTCAGCATCACTCTTCATGAAGTCTTTCCTATACTTATGGGTCATATCAACACTAGTAGGAAAGAACACACAGAACACGAAGATCATTTAAACTGAAGCCACTTACAGTCACTCTTAAGCATAACACACGATTCCTACCTGCAAACCTGAACTTACTTTTCCTCAGCTTCATCATCTTCATCCACCCAGGCCGGTTTTTTAGACAGGATTTCACCTTTTGCTTCATTTTCTACCTCCGAATCGCTGGAGTCGTCCCGGAGACTTTTCCCCTCTGTAGCCTTCAGCTGAAAGCAACCAAGCAGGCCGAGTCAGCCCAGCCACGGATGGCGGCAGGCGGCGGAGGACGGGGAGCCGAAGTACCGGCCCCCGGTCGGGCTCAGAAAACGGGCCGGGCCCCGAACCTTACCCACTGGGGTCCGGCCAGGCGCTGCAGCAGCTCGTCCTCCCCCACGCTGAGGCTGTCCCCGAACACGAGCTCCTCCAGCTCCCGCTCGGCGCCCGACGCGCGGCCAAGGGCCTGCAAGTGCCGGGCGCGGCGAGAGGCTTCCTCCGCCGCCTGCTGTGCTGCCGCCTCCTCAGCTGCCGCCGCCTCGTCGGCGCGCGGCTGGAGCCGGTTCACTACTTTTGTCATTTTCTTCGTTTTCTTTTTTTTCTTAATTTTCTTCTTCTTCTCCACCGAGCCCGGGCAAGGCGCCGGCGCCGCCGCGCGCTGCATGGCTCCTCACAGACCTGCCGGAACCGGAAAGCGTGCTCGCTACCCACGTGACACCACCTTATATAGACTTTCTCGCCCCGCCCCCAAGCGTGATAGGCTCTCGCCGCTGCCCCTCCTCAGCCCACGTGACCAGGCCGCTGTTGCCCCCGGCCTCAAGGCGCTGTCACGTGACCTCCTTTCTTTGCCTTCCTTTCCTCCCCTCCCCCCTCCCACCCCGAGTTCCACGTGACGCGGCCCACGGGGGGGCAGCTCCATTGCGCGCGAAGGGGGGGGTCCCCTCCACATGTGACAACAACCGCCTCTCACCGGCGGCCCAGCGACAGCTTTGAACATATCACCTATTACTAGAAAGCAAAACGAGCTGCGGTGGGGCTGCTTTTATCTCTTATTCTCTGTCCTGCCGCTAAAAACCCCCTCCGTTTGCGAGTGGTTTCGCCCGACGGGGGGGGTACGGCGAGCGAGGAAGCCCCAAACAGCTGTGAGCCCAATGAGGGCGCGCGGTGGGCCGGGCGCCGCGCCTGCGCAGAGGCGCCATGCGAATGTTGTTGATATTCCGGCGCAGGGAGTCGGGCTCGTTCCGCCGGCGGAGGGAGAGGCTGAACTTTCCAGGCCGCCTCCTGCCCCGCCGGGCCCGGCCCCTCGCTAGGGGGAGGCGGCAGGCGGAGGGGGCCGAGCCGAGGGGAGGGGGCAGAGGCAGCGGGCGTCTCCTGCCCATGAGGGCCTGATGGAAAACACAAAGGACCTGGTGAGTTCCTCAGCCCGCGGGAGGCGGCGGGGGCTGCCCCGCTGAGGGGAGCGCTGGGGATGGGGGGGGGGAGGA